CCGTGTGCAAGTTGCGCACGTTAAAGATCCCTTGGTGGTCTAAAATCGATAAGAGTAGGCTTCGGCCGCCACCCAGGCAAATTTCAAAATTTCCTACCAACTGAAAATATTAGGTGTGTCCCGCGCGCTCATATGACCTTATGCAGATGCGAGGGCCGTAAAACGCTTTACAAAAACAAAACAAATCCGAAAAATCAGCCGGAAAAATCATGGCAATCGGGTATTGGGACATTGATGGCGTGCTCCTCAGATTTTTTACAACGAGAAGCAACTGTCAGTTATGACGCATGTAATACTGAAATGTCTTAAAGTGAAAATTCGACGAGTCAGACTAGATTATTTTAACGTGGAAAGGGTGCTTTTCACCATGACAATACTCGTCTGTATGCGAGAACAAGGGAAACAATCACCTCGTTGGGATGGAAAACACTTTCACACCCGGCTTATTCTCCTGATTTGGAAACTTCAAACTCAGACTTTTACCTTTTCAGCCCTTTACAAGAAGCATTGATAGGTCAACGTTATGTAAACGATGAAGAAATTAAAGCTGCTGGTGAAAAAGACCAACCTTCTCAGCTCTACGAAGCTGGCATATTATTTGGACTTACTAAAGGGTGGAGAGTGACTATCGAAGGGATTAAAGACTATGTTGAGAAATTGTAACCTGACTCTCAGATGCTCGCCTTTACTTTGAGGTATGGTTGTTGCAATGTAAACGAACTTGCACTACTTTTGACACCACTTCGTATTAATGATTTAGAGTGGTATTAATAAGAATAATAGCAACGATAACAATGATAATAATAACGATAATAGTAACAATGACCACAACGACAACAGCAACAATAATGATATTGATAATAATAATAATAATAATAATAATAATAATAATAATAATAATAATAATAATAATAATAACAGATTGCGAGGTTGATAGAAAGCTATCGAAATTATCCATATCCTCTCAACACGCCAACCGCGATTATGCGGCAGTGAGAACTTGAAGCCATTATTGAAACTTTTATGAACGGTATGTTTTGTGTGCGATGATGCCAATAATAGCTCGCTGGTCAATGTCTGGCGATGACCAAATTGGTCTCGACGTGGTGGAATCAGGCGCTCGTCATTTTTTGCGCATCTGATGTTATTGGTATCATTTTAAAGCCTGTTCATTTGCCTTACTTTTGGTGGAAAAAAATCCATCTATGTTAAAGAAGAAGTTGAAATAGTTGCGATTGAAGGAGATCAGGTTCGCCTGGTTTCAAAGGTAAAATTGGTGAGAAAATGGCCGCCAAAGTTTGGTAAATTCCATAGCTTGAGAGTCCTTGCAAACTGAAAATGTTTTTTTGGTGTTTTTTGGGTGCCTGTAATCGTTGTTTTTCAGTCAAATGGACGCTGAAAAGTGTTTTTATATGGATATGAAAGGTGTTAAGCCAAAAGCAGAAAATTTGGGGGGGGGGGGGGGGGGGGG